GGAATGTGATATGGGAAGAGGCCTGGCCTTCCTTGAAATTCACATTTGCCTTGTAACCCAGGGTCACTCGTGGCAATGTGCCCGAGTGGTTATCGTGTCAAGCCCACATTCTGTACTGTCACAGTTCGACTCTCGCTGGGGGAGCTAATAAGCCTTATGCGATGTCGAAACTGCAGTCCACTCTGGATGAGAACAACTTCTGGGAAAGCAAGGCTATGTGAAATTCAATGGAAACGTCAGCTCTACTCATATCATTGTGGTAAAATTCTACTACCAGTCCTTCATTACTTTAAACGAAATAGGGTGAATACATCTCATATTAATCTACATATGCTCGCATATAACAGGGTTTTGAGTCTATCAGTAAATCTTGAATAATAATTCTTCTTCCGAGGTCTGTAGTTTTTGGGGTCTGGCTATTTGCTTTGCTGGGTTAATCTATTTTCCTCTTTCTTCTCATTGTGCAGGTCTTGTCTCTTCGCAGGCTCCTTCACTGCTGCACCCAGGTCCCTTGTCCGGTGCTGGAGCTACTAGCTCTCCGTCGCGTTTCCAAGGCGTCGCCTACTCGGCCGACGAGGCCTCCATTGAACATCCTCAGCTGCTTCTGCTGCCATTCGGAGGAGCAGGAGCTGCTTCTGCCTCTCTCACTGGTCCTGCGAACGCCTTGACGCCTGGCTCGCCGAATAGACCGCCAGCAATCACTCCACCGCCGTCCAGCTTCCGCCGAAGCTCCGACGACACTACAAGTCGTCCGTCACAGTCGGCCGCCTCCACCATGACGACTGGCTCAACCACAGCGACTGTGTATTATCCGACGGGGCAGTCGCATTCGCCTCAGCCGCCTGGACCACTTCGTCTACACCCGAGCCTTCTTGGCCAGCATCCAGCCTCTCTGACGCTCGGACAGCAGCAGGCACACTCTCATATTTACACCCACGGACTCCATCTCCCTGCGCTACCGACGCCTACAAACCACTTGCCGCTCTGTCTGTCACCGGATTATTCGTATCCTCTCCTCGCCGCCTATCCCCAGTCCATTTCCGGTCCGGTCAGCGAGGAGACAGGTGTCTCGGGCCACGAGGCCTCCAATGGGGCATGCCAGCCGCTTTTGCACTCGATCGGGGCCATGATTCCTCCCGAGGCGGCTCTCCCAGCCGGTCAGCACCAAAGTCTTCAGCGGCACCAGCAGCAACAGCAGCAACTGCACCACCACCACTTTCAGATGCAGCAGCAACAGCAGCAGCAACAACAACAACAGCAACAACAACAGCAACAACAGCAACAACAACAGCAGCAACATCAGCAACAACACCTCCGAATGACAGGTATCATGCCCCAGGGCTTCTTTCCCCCCGGCGTACCAAATATATTGCAAAAGACTGGCCATCTGGCCACGAATGAGGCCGGAGGAGGTCTGGCCCCATTTGGTGGTCATCAGACGAAACGAACGCCAGTTGGCCGACAATTGCGAGAATCCGTCATGGCAACGGAGCAAAGTAGTTCGGGTGCAGATCCGGTCGTCAGTCGCAAACCGGGCGGGAAGCCGAAGCACCATGCGTTTTTTGTGGCTGATGATCCAAGAGGTGGTCTTCTTTTCCGTGCATCAAGACAGAGTCTTTTATTGCAATTTTCAAACGCCGTTTTTAGATAACACTTTGTTATTGTTTAATCCACTTGCAATTAATGCAGGGAGCATATGCGGATACAATTTGAATGAAAACTCGAGTCACAATGAGATGAAAAGGAGGCCCAGGATGCCAGTCCCTTCCAAGAGGATTTTTTATCTGGGTTGGCCTGCAGGTTCCACTTGCTCGGGGATCAGTGCAAATGTGTCTTTTAAGGAAGGCTAAGCCTCTTTTCATTCACCTTTCTATAGCTTGACTAGTCTCAGCAGGGCTATTTTATATTTGTCGTAACACTAGACGCTGTTACCATATTCATAGTAAGCGATAAAATTAATACAAACCAATGCATACTTGCAACACATGCAAACATAATGCGTTGGCATTATGTTTTGCCCTCAGCAGTGCGGGATCAAGCCAGAGCGCTTGGCCGGAGACGATATCACGAATCCACAGCTCAGCTATTTGCCCCTTGAAGCATTTGCCTTCAACAGTCAGCTAAAGAATCACTTTTGCCCTAGGCAGTTAATATATCAAAATCAGATGCAAATTCGCTTGGAAAAATTTTGCCCATTATAATTTTGTTTCACCTCTTGTCACAGAAATTGGTTATAATTCCATCAATAAGAGGCAAAAGGTCATAAGTTCGTTCTCGTTTTAAGATAAGAGTTTAGTTAGGCTAGGTCGCTTGAGGTAATTTAAGGACTAACAGTTGCATTTTGCCCACAATCAGAGGAGTAAGCTTCAGTATGCCATAAAATTTCATTTAGCCTTGCCCATCATCCAGGTTAGACTGCATTTTCGACTTCATCGTCGTCATCAACACTCACAGCGGGATTCGATACCAGGCCGTGGGTATCCCGGCCACTTTGACACGGCACAACAACCACGAGTGCTAGTGATTCACAGGGCAGATGCGACATTCAAGGCAAGCCGGGCATCTCCAAATTCGCATTTACAATAGGACAGTTGTTAGAGCAAATATGTGCCAGCCATTGCAATTGACGACGCTACTTAATTTCCATATGAGTAGCTTTCTAGATTAAATTCCTATTCAAGAAATACCGATAGTCTATAAAGCTAATTATATGGAAATTAAATAAATTTTTTGACTGTAACGTCAAGCACGTGCTTGCTAAATTATGTTATAAGTGTGAGTTTGGAGAGTCTCAGCTTGCCTTAAATGCCGCATCTGCTCTGTGACTCATTGGCACTCATGGCTGTGTTGTCGAGTGTTAACGTCGTAAGGATACTTACAATTCGGTATCGAATCCTGCTAGGGATGCTGATGAGATCTAGACTAGGTCAACACTACCTTATATCCTTGATGAGATAAGCTTCTGGGAGGCAAGGCTGAGTGAAATGGGATTGATTCATGAGGTCTATCCATCTCCTTAGGCGATTCAGACTATATAAAGTTCTTGTTCAATAATTACTAATTGTCCTGAAAGCTATTTGTAGGTTAATCTTGTCAGAGCAGTTTTGGCTTCTTCTAGAACTCGGCCTCAGGACTCGAACCACTGATTTGCGGCTTCGACGGCAAAAACATAACTCAAAGAATCCCTTAGCCTGGTGTTAACGCGTTTTTTGCCTCTCAATTCGCGCATCTACTATTCTAGTCACGCCAGCGTTTCTGATGAGACCGAGGTCTATTAGAATGCATACAGCAGCGAATTTCAACGCTACATCTTTGACAGACTGGTACTCATTTCTTGTACCGTCATGCGAATATGGTGCATCTTGACAACACGTGACTTGTTGAGCTTATTTCCATTTCGAGTGAAAGTGTTTGGTGAATAGATTCAAAAGTGGATTCCATCAGAAGACGAGGGCGGATTCCTCTTGACCAGCTGTCGATTGGCTTTATTGGAGCATTCATTTTGACGCTGTTTCTGAGGTAATCTCCTTCGATTCCGATAAAAACGTGCTAGGCTTTCGTC